TGATGGTACATTCAGCGGGGTGATGAACCAGCAGTCTCACGTGACAAGGGGGGAGGTGTGCTGAAAGCTGCGAGGACAGGATTTTTGGACGTGAATCAACACGATTCACTACAAGTGGTAGGCTCTGGGTGAAGTGTGTGCAACTGTCAAATGCTCTGGTGTATGCAGTGTGAAGCATTTCACTACTTCGGCTCTTTTGCACGCCTTCGTCCATTTCGTTGAATTTATTTTTCTTGTTCCTCAAAACGTTTTTCTAACCTAATATTTTAACGTCACTGTTGTCTTTAAAATTGTTTATTTTTTTAACATCACGTCCTATTGTTTTTGCCTAAATTTGTTGTGTTTACTTTTTGATTGAAACAATTTTGTCAATTTTTTTGCTGTTTTTTAATTTGTTGCCCTTTTTTCGCGGCTTTTTTGATCTTGTGTTTGAAACAATGAATGATATTTTCGATATTTGTATATCCTACCCCTCGGTATTAAATGAGGAGCTTTTTGAATCTTGGATTAATGGAGTGCCTGGTATTAAGTTTTTTTGTGTTTCTTTTGATGTGGTTTTCTTGTTTTTTTGGTTTTTCTTGTTTCGAATATTTTCTTTTATCCTCTTCTGATTGTAAGGTTCTCTTTTTACAGGTGTAGTTGCCCTAATGTTATATTCTCTTGGTATGCATATTGATGTTCTTTCTTCGGTAACGTATTCTCACTCATTTTTTGCTTCTTCATACTGATTTTTTTAGCCTATTTTTTGATTAGATTGCTCAAGTTTATTTTGGAATTCGTTTATGTGTTGCTCTTCGTGCCTGATATTTATTATTTTTAAATTTTTTGATTTCCATTTATGCTGCCTTTAACCTGAAACTTGTACTTGCTTCCTAGTTGCTAGGTTGTACATTCTTATATTTTGCCGACTGATCTATTGTTTGTTTGCGATTAGGTATTCATTCTTTTTGACTTCTTCGTAAACACCCCTTTTGTATAACGAGTGCGCTGTACAGGCAGTGAAGCAAACATTTCGTGGCATGCGATGTTGATACGAACAAGCTATAATTTGACACGTTCTTCTGTGGTTTTAGTTGAGGAAGCCGCAAAGAATTTACAGTCCCAACCTGATGTTGAGGCTTTCCAATTATCACATGAGCTGCTGGCAGCATCAGTCGCTGATCAATATGCTCAGTTCACTCTTCTTGATTCAGCTATGATGCAGCCAGACGTTTTCGTTAACTACCCTTCAAACTATATTTTGGATTGGAAATTAAGAAAGAAGTTGGTCGAATGGTAAGTCGTTTCATTTGCGAGTCTATTTAGTAATGACCTAGACATTAAGGGTCGTCTCTCAAATTTATTTTCAACAATAGTTACTACTCCTTGGATGATGCTCTATGCCGCGAATTAATAGGCAGCAAATTATCAGCTCGCTTTCGCCGTGATCTTGCTGATGTCGCTGAAAGGTGTGGCATTCGTCTCCGCAGTTGCCGACGTCAGTACGAGAACCTCAGACGTGTTGCACGGTTTGTTGAGGATACACCTGGCCACCTGTGTGAGATTATCCGGAGGTACTTCGTTTTGCCGTTGCCTCTTGCGGAAGTCTACGCTGCCATGATCTTTCTATGTGTGAATCGGTATGTAATGATGAATAGCATTGTGTTTAGATTCTTTTTTTAGTGGATAATAGGTTTGCATATTCCTTTACACCTTTAAATATAACCCGCTGATTGGTTTCCGAGAACTGTAGATGAATATCACCAGGCTTTGGATACACTTTACAATAAGTAATTGCTAAGGTTATATCCTTTGACTCAATCGTAAGATCTATGTGGCTTTTAGTTGCAATGCAATAGTATTATAAAGCCCAGGAAATTGGCTTTTGTTTGAATATGTAACAGAACGTCATAAAACTCATCGAATTTTGCACATTTAACAGGTAAAGCAATTTTCTCATTCAACGGTATCTAATAAAACGCCACCATTAAATCGATCAAGTTTTCATTGTTTTTAGCTTGAAAAAACTCGTGTCCTCCAAGCATTCTTCATAATCATTATTATTTCCAGTGTAAAGCCTCTGGCTTGTGTATTTCCATCCCTGACTTTAGCTGGAAGATTAAAAAGTTACTTCTTATTCCCCTTAAAAAGCTTCGAAACTTCTAAGCGTTGCTTCTCCGGTGCCACCTTTGCTGACTTTACTTACTGTGCTGAACAGCTGATGACCTACTGGACCAATTCAAATAACCAAGTTGCGAAATTGGATTCTCCAGTAGATCTAGAGCTCGACTTTGAATTCTGTGGAGAGTTAAAAGTCTTGAAGCTGTTGGCTGAGAAGCAAACATACCTCGATCGTCATAAAAGGTACTCTATGCCAACTATGGTTAATTGATTTCTGGTTATCTGGCCTGCAGATTCTATGAACATGAATTGCAGTTCCCTTAATGGTGCACTCTCCGCTCATCTTCGGTTTTCTGTTTCTCCCATGATGTGATTGAGTAAATTTTTTAATGCACCTCTGCTTTGGTTTATTTTAGCCTCGTCATTCGTCAGATATCCTCGTCTGTTTCTGAACTCTGTTTAAATGGAGTTGAAACCAACTTTAAGGTAAATTGCCTTTACATTTTCTTTTCCAAATTTATTGTTTCTAATTCCAGTTTGTTTTGGAGATTAGTTGACTGATCGCCTTGTTTGAGCATTGTGCATTCGCGTTCGTACTCGAGCTGTACCTCTTACGCGTAAGAATCGAAGTGAATGGCTTTCTGCCAATAATAAGTAGTGTAGTAAACCTCCCCGAAAAACTAAGTTCATGATTTCTTACTTTGTAGAATATTATAATGCCTCATTGGTGCGTTGAGCTTTTCTCTCTGCCGGTTGCCTCAACTTAATACATATATGCAGCATATACAAAGTTAGCCCCTGCTGCTCTCCTTACAAAATTTCTTTTCTCCCTTTAAATTAGACTTACTACCTTGACTTAATTTAACCGGTATAGTAATTTTCATTGGTTGCCAAGTTGCGTCGATTGCGTCCAAACTGTTTACTGGTCTTCCGACTTATGTTTGGCAAAACCACTAATGTCACGTCTTTTCTCCCAAAGGTATTAGCTAATTTTTGCTACCAATTTTCACCGATCTCGCACACTAACCCTCCCTTTCTCATCTATTACTGTTATATATTTAGTCAGATCAGTTGTCTAATCGCATTTTTTTATTTGTGGTTCAATGACTCGTGAGAGTCATTGCTGTAACCGGTGGGATCTGTTATTCTGCTTTGTCAAGACCTGCTAATGCAGATGAATTTCGGTTTTTTGTATGTTGACGATTGTTGCTTTTCTTATTCCAACAACCATCCTTATTTATCTCCACGGCAACTGTCAAGTTGTGTGCCTCCTCGGTTCTCCACATTCTGTAACGCGATTTGGGAGCCTTGAGGCGATGTTGCTCAGGTTTATTGCTTACTAAGTCTTCAGTAGACCTAATGATCTGGTAAAACGGTATTTCTAAGTTGACAGCTAGTTGCATTACGCAATTACAAAGTGGCACTCATTTAGCAAAAGTCGAATTGCCACATTGTCTGCTACAGTGTCCTGTGCTGGAGGATAGCACGTGTGCTTTCTACTAGGGTAGGTACGCCAGATGGTTCGACGACACTAATGCCCCCAAGTATCTTCTTTTGTAGAGCCTGTCCAAGGCAATCATAACGATTGCCACGGGGTTGTCACACGCGAAGGAGGTTCGAGACCTCTTCTTGGATATCATCGAGAAGGTCGGTGATCTGGTGTGTTTGTTCGTAGTGCCTGCTGCGTCAACCCCCCTCCCGCTGATGTTTTTTGTGTTTTAGGTAGTTGACGTCGTGGTTGGGGCTCAATGGACATACCAGGAGTTTTCCAATTTTCTCACTTCGTACGATGAGACCCTGCGAATCCTCCCGCCGGCAAAGTAAGGTTACGCGCAGACCTGATTCGTATTTTTTTGCAAAGTGTTCCTAACGCAAATAGAGTTCATCCTCACACAGATCCGCTTAGTAGTTGGTCATAGTGCTAATTTTGCAGGCTTGGCTGCTGTTTTATTCCCTGTTGGTGTCGTTGCAACGTGGGGAGCAGTCAATGTGTTATCGGCTGAATCGGCGTGAAACGAGTTGCGTGTTTTAACTTGCCTCGAATCCTTTAATGAGCCCTGTCTCATTGTCGAAGTTTACGAAGCTACTAAATCAAGTAGTTGTGTATGTGTGTGTGCCTGCATTTGTCCCCGGACATGAATCGGGCACTCATCAATTGTGTTTGGCACCACGTGTCCAATTTAGTAAATCCTGTGTTGAGTAGCAGTAATGTAACGCAAATGTTATGTTATACGAGCTCCCATTTTAATTGTGGCCTTCAGCTGCTCTGGGCAGTTAGTGGTTGTACATGCTTATCTTCGTCTGCAAGTTCAGTTGTATGTAAGATATTATAGATACGCCCATCGCCACAAATTTTTCAACCCATAATTTGAAGCAAGCTACCTTTTTCATTAATTCTGTTATTGCCGGTTTTGTACTTGACAGTCGCACAATGAGGAAGGTAGTGTCGGGAGTAATTTGAAACTGATAATTTAGTTCTGATCTGCATTTCCCATTACCCGCTGCCACAGGCTCTGGGTAACAGACCTTGGTAAAAATGGCCGTCTCTCTTCTGAAAGTGGCTTCACATTAACCGAAACCAAGCTGTCATGTGATGAAGTTCCCGTTTGTTTTTTTAAAACCAATCAGACCGCAGCTTTATCGCTGTGGAGGTGTGGATGTGGAAGATCCGAAAATTCGTCTGGTGAATGCGGGCACCCGCTTTTTAAATTCTCAACACAGGTACTCCTCTTCTTCTTCACCTTCTTCTTCTACATCTTCGTATGTTAAGTGTCATTTCCTCAGCATAATGGTATGCTTTGCGCGTTAACACCGATTGCACGTCACTGACGCGATCGACTGGATTCGGTGTGCAAAGCGTTGTCTGAATGCACCTTGGTCCGTCCTTCGTTCTCCCACATCTCCCTGCCTTCCTCAATTCCCCCTGTCGACCTGCAGGTCAGCTCAGACCTCCCCTTTTCTTGCTCGCACACTAACACCCACTATGCGCTCTGACCCCTCCACCTTTGTATGCGATGACCTGGAATACATCAAGTGCCTCTTCTTCTGTCTGGTAGTAATCCCCCTTTTCGGTCCCCTCTCGGTGGGCACGTTACATGCGATGCCTATGTTTTCCTCTTATCCAATGACTGCTGATGCTCGATGCTGCGCTCGATTACGGCGTTTACTATGAAGTGCACCAGAAGCCGCGTGAAATCTTGGGTGCTAAAAAACGTCGTCTTTTGTATTTCACGATTGTTTGCTAAAGTCTTCGAGTTGCATAGCTTTTAGTTGTCTAAACTCTCTTAAATTATTTGATGGTGTGTTGTGCGATGGATCTTTTTCCCATTATCAATTATGTTAGTTAAGGCGATAGTGGTGCCCTTTTATTCGAACCACTTTTATACCTAGTAGTGCCATGTTTCTGGATTTTGAAATTGGCTCTGTCAATGCTATTCCGTTTGCTGTTTTCCATGATGATGATGATGATGATGATGATTGTGGGCAGAAATTGACGTGATTGTGGACCTAATGAATTTGCATTTTTTTACCTTAAGATCGTCATCGTTTCAAAGATGCTGGACGCGTTTCTTCGCTCCGTTCAAATCAATCAGCCTGCGGTTTTATCACCTTCCGCTGAACACAAGTACCTAAGTGCCTCAGGCGTTTGCCCTTTGCCACCACAGTGCATTGTAATTGATGCACCAGTTGATTGGTTTCCCTAATGTTGCGATGGTGGACGATGGTGTGGGTGGGGCCTGTACCATGCTTGTTGTTCCAAGTCGATTGTACAAACCGTTCGAAATTTAATTGTCTGAAGTTGAATAAATTGTGGATAAACGTCTGCTGTTGAATAGTTGCGTCGGACATTTTGCGCTGCACGGTTTTCGTATCATCCCTATTGTTTTAGCCCGGTTGCCATGATCCATGAAAACTGCATTTCTGGTTTAGGCTGTGCCACTAAAACGCATAAATAAGGTTTTGAGAAGCAGTATGCTTTGTTCGACTGCATGGTTGATGCCTTCCAAATGTGTACGGTCAATCGCGCACTGGTTTGTAGGTCTGTCCTGACGGTTTCACACTAACCGGTACTATTTGCACGATTGTGCGTCGCCATAGGGCAGTTGCAAATTGCGTTAGATCCGATTCTTAGGGTGCACCCTTGAATTGACAACAGAGGTGCTATGTTTTGGCTAGGTGTAAGCTCGCTGATTGATTTTGAAGGCGTCGACACGTGTTTTAGGACCTCACCCGGATCACCAAGTTCGTCATCCCGTTTGTGCTGCACAAATACCCAGGGAGAGACAGCCGTTTATTAGTTGGCTCAAGTTGGTTGCACGGTATGATGCATTCCCGTGAGGTAACAGCGCATTCCGTTTCCGACAGGCGTTCTCTGCGTATTAATTTGGCCGATTGCTTTTGGGGTTGATATGAAAAACACCTAGTTAATTGATGGAATAAAGTCTCATTTCATGAAGTCAGGCGTGTCAACTTGAGTCCGAAATTTTACTTTTAGACTACAGCTACTATTAAAGTGTATCTCATTAGCCAGTTATATGTCTTTTATCGCCTTAGTACCCAACGACACCCCAACAGTGCATGTGAAGGGGGCAGTATATGGTGACACAGTTTTGCCCAAAATCAGCACTATAATTCCGCAGCAGCCATAAGCCCTAATCTTTAGATTAGTGTGTAGGGCTTCGTGGTGATTCATGTCCGATAACCCAGTCCTCGCAGATTCCAACACACGTCTCCCCGTTTCACGACCTGCCCGTCAGTCACGTGAGGCCACTGGTTCATTAATCACTCTGCGTGTCCCCCCACCACCCGTTTTAGTCACAGACACCTGTGTTTATTTTTGTACATGTCCACTGAACAGAGGGTAACGTATTCGGCCTAGATTGTCGCAGTGGCTCCGGCGTGGGTCAAGACAACATGCCGGGGCCCTCAACAAGTGCAATTGATTTTGTCACCTAGACATCTTGACAATACATTAATTGGAATTTATCAGCTCCTCTGATTACTCAGTGCATTCCAACCTCTTTTAAGAATGGTGGGTACATGACTGACAACTCATTAATGGGAAATTGTGTTGTGCGTACGCAATGCCGACACCTACGATTCTCAAACACCGCCTTTAATTTGTGTGCGGTTCAATTTGTCGTGAGCCTTTCGGCCAAAAAATTTCTTCACCGCCCTCTCCAACCGGTGAACTAGACTACGTCTATTCGTTGTCTTTCTGCAACCGTTACCTCTACATCAGGAGGCCAAAGACGACAATTCGTTGTCGGGTTCCAATTTAGTTCAGCTTTAGCTGTAACCTTAATGTAATGAACTGTTGTGATTTACTTCGTTGGGTGTGTAAAGCCTCCGAAATTGGCTTCTTCTGTGTTGGGAATTTGATAAAAATTAAAGTGACAAAAATGAGTTCAGTTTTCTAACATCGGAATATATTATCTTTGGATCTATTGCTTTTTAACGCCTTGCCACAGTCAATGTTGCTTTCGCCTATTGAGAACATTTTAATTATTACCCTTATGCAAGCTAGCCTATTAATCCTCTTAGTTTTTTTCACCTTCTAGAACGGTCTAACATTTTTAACGCTTTTTCAATGCAATTAGCTTCTCAAATGTTACCTAGCTAGTTAAAATGCACTCCTTCTTTAAGGATATACTGAAAGGAACCAATCCGGCAGTTGCCCATCCCAAATGAGTGGTGTTTACTGGAAGTCAGTTGGGCAGTTCAACATTCCCCTTTAAAAAAGGTTGCTTTAGAGACGCAGCCTCGCCTTGGTTATCTAATTCGATTGTCTTCAATTGAGCCCAAACAAAGTATATTAAAAATAATTGTACTGTTCTTTTGTACATGTGGCAGGAAGTCATTTTACGTGTGCGCCATTTGGTTCAGCATTTCGAATCTTTTCTAAGTTTGCTGAATCAATCAGGTGCTGTTCATTTATTAACTTTTATCCAGCGACCCGGATTCAATTTCGTGTTCAGTTCTCCCATAATTTTCCAGAGACGCATTTATTTACATATATTAGTTTCGGCATTTGCATAATCTATCGACCTTCAATTCATCGATGATGCTCTTTTCGAAGACCCATTTTGTAACAAAAATTACGACTTATGACAAGAACATTTGGTGCCTAAATGGTATAGCTACGAAAGAATAGGTAAATACGTTAGTAAAGACCTTTATACTCCTAGTTTTTTGGCATAAATTTCATTCAGTGAATTAACTATGCGTCGATGAATGAAGCACGAGATTAATTGCCATAAATTGCACCTCATAGTCTTTTTTTTCTTACTCTACAGCACGCTTATTATCATTCATTTTTTATTGTTTTAATGTCACCGTTTTTTTCTCCGAAGCAACAATTATAGAAGTTCGTGTTTTTTTTTAATCAAAAGGCATGGTTCGTTCTAAGCACAGTTTCGATTAGTTAAAGTAAAATATTTTAAATGGAGCCCTTTTGAGCAAATCTTGAGCAATTAAGTTTAACTGCAAATTGCAGTTAACATTATTGGTAAACTGAATATTTCTAGAGGAAAGTTTTAAATTGCATTGGTGACACTTAGTTATATTTAACTAGTTTCAGTTCTTTTCCAATTTTGTGTTATCGCTAGTGTTATTTGATTCTGTTTTAAAAGGAACAACATTCGAATTATTACCATTGGTTATACAAATTTAAGTATTTTTTAAAATTGTGTGGAATTCTAAATTTTTAAATCGCACAACTTGCAAAATCTGGACAATTTTTCTCTTTACATTTAAAAAAAATGATGATATTGCTTTAGAACACTGATTTAAATTGCAGCTCCATGATTGTTTTGTTTGACTTTGTTGGGTTATCATTTATTGCCCAGCTTCATTAACCCCAGCAATTGTGGCGTGAAACTTAATATTTGCTCCGATTTTTGCTAGGGATGTGCACTTTTAAAACTGGTTTTTTTTTCAGATTGAGCCACATTATTCCAAATCACATGGCAACTTTGTGTATCTTTGTAACAAATCAACTTTTAAATTTTTCCCCGCCTTTAACATGAACTCATTCATCCAGTCACTAAAAATAATTTAATTTATTCCTGAATTGCACTTCTTGACATAAATGAATTTGAGTGCATAATTTGGTTTCGCTCTCTGTTTGGAATGACCCAGTTTAAATGTGTGGCTTTTTAATAAACAATGGAGTTTTGTCCTTCGTTGTCTGCAATGAGATTCCAAACTGTCATTGTTTTAGTCCCCTAGTTCCCCTCCCACACCTAAATTCACCTGTCTACAACCAGACCCCATTGAAAGGTGTAGGAGAATGGGAATTTTCACTGGCCCATTTCGCCTTCACACAGTTATCAGGGCATTGTTGGCATCAGTCCACAAAGCAGACAAGACGCCGGTGACTTTAATCATGTTCAACAAAACAAACTTATCTCGCACTGCTTATTTCTGGCAAAGGCTCTTAATCCTCCGTCAGCCACAGTTGTAACCTTTTGTTTTTGCACGAAACCGAGACCCCGTTTACACAAAAACGACTGAAATAGCAAGGCCACTGTTTCAGGAAATGGGTAGTTTGGTTAATTGATCCACACATTACTTGTATTTTAGTACCACAGCCAAAGGAACATGGAATTCACATATGTGAGTTCAGCATCATTGTATGGCTAACCTTACAGTGCCCTTATTTTAAAGGCTGAGAGCTGTTCAGACCAATAGCTGACGATTCGAGCCTTTAGTTTGGTGTAAAATACAAAGTCGGCATTGTATAATATTTAAATTTTTTTATTTGCAACACTTTTGCCAATAATTATAATTTTTGGCCTACACAAAGTAAATGAACATTTTTACCCCAAACTACACTTTGCAAATATATGCCCTATTTTTAACCACATTTGTGATTACAACTGTGGTTAAGATTTTGCTCAATGATGGAGTCGAATGGCCGCAGTTTATCTCAGTAAACATTTTCGAATTTACATCGCTCGGACCTAAACCACCGTCGATGATTTTGTGGATATTTAAGGCACTATTTTGCGTCCGCACAGAACACAGAACAAAACCGTGTCAGTGAACGCGCATGCAAGATGCCCAGCCTTCGACCTGGTGCCCAAAAGACGTAGTTCGCGACGGCGATAGGCCGATCTCTTCCAAACCTCGCGCGTGCTGCATCACCAGACCAAAACACGTGTATGGTCAGCCTCTGCGTTGATTCGTTGCCGAGGCGAAATTCGATAGCTTGAAGGCATGCGCGCACTAAGCATGGGGTAGACGCTCGCGTTTGGCCTAAAAGGAAAGCTACAAGACATTTTGTAAGCGTTTCTCAGCGCATTTTTCTGTTTTTACGCTTTAACCCAACTTCACCATAGGGGGGCTTTGCAGCAAGGGATTTGGGGGTGATATGGCGGACGAGAAGCTCAAAAAGGCCCGAGTGATCTTTGTCCTCGGTACGTTCTTCGGAATCATTCTATGAACCATACTTCCACAAAGTAGTCGACTTTTCTGATGCTTAATGGTTTTAAAATTCGGTAAAAATCTTGGCATAAGAATGCCGTTTGGTCTTGCCAACACCAATATAGCTCTATGTTTTATATTTCAAGGCATGCCATGATTTTAATGTCATTTTAACTTATGGCAATAAATTAGATGTTTACACAATGTCAAACAGTTCTTATATTTCGGCCCCAATTTTCTATAATCCCTGATCGAAAATGTCTTTACTTTAATTATCGATTTTCTCTGTCTGTAGATGAAAGTAGGTGTTATTAAGCATTTTGCTTCTGCATCGCTTTATAATGGCAAAATAAGTTACGAATTTTGTCAACATTAACATGCTGGTTGTGTACAGTTTAGTTAAATAGGCTCTTGCATAACTCTGCGATTGAGCCGGAGTCAGTTTGTGAAAAACAAAGTTCGCCTGATAATGTACATAAAACACCTCTACCGTACTTTGGTCCACGACTTCAATAAAGAGAGTAGTTGGTTTAATTGATGGAACAGTGCATCCGGCTGTTTACACTTTTGGCTCGTCGCTAAAACAAATTAAGGCGCATAGGTTGAAGGAGGGCGTGGCTGGTTTACTTGTTCCCTCCTTGAAGCCAAAATGCGGGTCTATCTCATTCATTTCCCTGTGCTTTCTTGCCGTAGTATTGTATCTGCGTTGCTAATTTTAAGGTGGCTAAAATTTTCAGTAGCAAAAATCCATTCACATGACTAAGGCCGCGTAGAACGGCGAGTATAACGTAGGAAAGTGTTAGTTTGCAAATAAACTCAATGATAAGAAATCAATAACGCACGTTAGCAACTAGGTTCACACCTATCACAAGCGTTTTAGTATGTTTCAGTGCCATGGGTTGGTGTTCCCTGTTTTGACTGGAGATTTTCCCAAATAAAGTCCTCGATTTTGGCCCAAATAAAGTCAAATAGAGCCGAGTAGTTTCACTGCGTGTTCCTCTGTGTAAATAGGTGGACCTGGCAGCGGAAAGGGGACGCAGTGTGAGAAGATCGTCGCCAAGCATGGTTTCAACCACCTCTCCAGCGGCGACTTACTTCGAGCCGAGGTAGAGTCTGGCTCTCCTCGCGGTAAGGAGCTGCAGGCCATCATGGAGAAGGGGGAGCTCGTGTCACTGGTTTGTTTTTTGCTTACCCCCGGCAAAGTCTGCTTCTCTTCTCTAGCTCAATGACCTCTCACAAATTTACCGATAAAACTCTCAATTTAGTAGCTGCACTAATTTTTTGCGCTATCGTTTACACTATAACGGGCTATTCTGGTCACCTAAATTAAGAAATCAAATAGTGCTATATAAATTTCTCAATTCCGGAATGGTGTGTTATACTTTTTCTCGGAAACAAGCGACTTCTAATGCCTCTTATAGCATTTTTAAACTAGCTCACCTTAATCCAAGACTGTAACTTCAAACTATGTGTGGTCTGAGTTCGTAGCGTATCTAACACCAAACGATGTTGTATTACAGTTGTTACTGCACTAATTTGTCTCTTTTGGGGATTGCGAATACCTAGACTTCTTTTGGATAATGTGGTGAATTAATTAATTTAATTGCAACCGTTCAGAATATGTCTTTGCCCTGTGGGCATCACTGTGTTTATCCGCACGATCTGGGAACATGGTGTGCCAGAGTGTCACTTCTTGCTATTACACCTCTCCAAATACCCACGTAGGCAAATCCCTGCTCTGCTATTGGATGCACATTAATTCTCACCGCGTGCCTTCAGCTCCCTCGGCGCACACACAGCAGCTTTCCCTGGGAAAGTCTGTTTATAAAATTTTCGCAAAAATTAACAGATTCTTTCACCAGGTACTAAGACAGCTTTGCTGAAAACTCGCTTTGCGATGCGGTTAGCAGATGTAATTTTAGTTTACAGGAATGTAGCCCCGTGTTGATGTTCCCATCTGTAAAGCATTATATGTCAAAGTCTAGCTTACAGAAATTTCTATTAAATGAGATGTGCCAATCCTCTCGGTACATATTTGAACACTCGGTAGATTTATAAACTAATCTTATTTTTTCGAAAGATAATCAATGACTCCATGTTAAATTAATTCAACATAGAGTATTTAATTTGTCATCCTATTTTGCATTTCAGCCGTATTGTTAATGCGTGAATCTTTACAGTTACTAACAATGTGACCAGGACTACGACAACTGCACATCGACAGTTAAAAGGCCACCTCAATTTGCCAGAGAAAAACGCCACATCTTATTTTCGGGACACGCATTTGCTATCATTGGTGTTTCTGTTTTCTTTAGGAGATCGTTCTTGCGCTTATCAAGGATGCCATGTTGAAGTTAATCGACAAAAGTCCCTACTTTTTAATCGATGGTTACCCCCGTGAACTCGAGCAGGGTACCCGCTTCGAAAAAGAGGTAGGCATGGCAAATGATGTCTATTTTCTGCTTCTCTGTGACTCCATTAGAGACGCAGTGCCTCTCAAATCTGAATTCAGGTCTCATGCACAGGTGAAGGGCAAAATTGTGCGCTTGCAAAACTGTACAGGCGTTGATTCAACTTGGATCGTTTGAGGTCATATCTAAACTTGACTGTGGTCTGATTGTAGCTCGACTTGACATAATCTCGGGAATAATCATAAACACCACCAAGCATTTAAATTTCTCATTTTATGTGCACTAGAATAATTTTCAGGAATGAAATTGGGTGTACGTAAGTGCGATTATCTGTGTTTAAATAACCAGTGCTTATTTCGTGCTGCAAAATTTAGATGAGTGCCTTTTCCTTTTGGTGGAAAACTGGCAAAACACAAGTGACTCCTAATGATAGTGGTTGAATATCCAGTATGCAGAAAGTAACTTCCAATAATGAAGATTTTTGCACGTCTTGTGTCCCCTAGATTAGGTAATGCGAAATTCTAAAGGTACAAATAAGCATCTTCGTACAGGGAATCCACCTGTTTGAGGTATGTTGTGGGCCCCAGCATGTAATCTTGAACCACGCCGGGGCCATTGAGTTGGATCTGTCCCGATTACGCTTTCCTGCTACCCCGATGAAGAAGACTGGAGAGGACGTTGACACAACCGTTTACTTCAGAGCTCAACCAAGGTAGTGTCGGTGTGTCGTGTGTGGCGTACTACCATGGACGAGCTAACATCGAGACCTAGGTGTGAGGATAATCTAAGATAATCGTTCGTGCTAATGGGGGGGAGTTGAGGATCCACGCGGCTAGTGACATGCTGCGAAAAGGGGGACCCCGTGTCGGAGGCTGGAGTGGTCGGATTAGCGAGTGTATGTCAACGCAATTCGCAATAGATACTTAAGGTATTTCACACAGGATCGCTTAAGCCGCCTATATTTTCAATACTATTTACAGGTAAGAATAAATTTATTCAACAAATACACCCCGTAATAAGAGCATTGGAAGTCTGGACAATGAGATTCGTTGATCTGATCCTTTATTTTCATACAGGTGGCCCCGTGCTTCGCGGTTTTATACTTTGAGGTGACCGAGGAAGTGATGAAACAGCGTCTTTTGAAGCGTGGTGAAACAAGTGGACGTGCCGACGACAATGAGACCACAATCCTCCAACGTCTCAAAACGTTCAAGAGCAAAACAGAACCGGTTATTAAACACTATTCAGAAAAGGACAAAGTCATAAAGGTATGGGTCTTACCAAGGTGACCATATAAATTTTCCCATATTGGTGAGCGACCGAATTTGGCCAGACATTGAACAAGCCATGCCCTATTACAAGGTTGCTTTTAGTGGTTACCTGATTTGATAATCTAAGCGTAATCTATCACATAAAGGTTAGTCATCTGTATTCCACTTGGTGTTATGCTACTGATATAACAGTTAGTAAAGGGTATCTTTTTACTTTTGTAGATTGACGCGTCGAAGACAATCGATGAAGTGTTTGCTGTAGTCGAGCAAGAATTTAAAAAGAAGGGGATAAATTAACAATATGCAACTCACAAAATGTGCCTCACTAGTATTTGTCATTCATTCATGCCACACTTCTTCAATTAGTGTAAGTCGACGAAAAGGACTGATGAACTAAAAATAAAAAATTCGATAAACCCAGATTCTCGTTTACTTTTAACTATACTTATCCTAGTCAAATGCATTACAAATAGGCTTTTCCTTGTAATGCTTTTTCAATTAACCATCAATCATCAGTCAAACTTATTACGCCGGGAACAGAACGATGCAACTTACCAGAGGCAAGCACTGGCGAAACTGATTAGCAAGATCAGTGCATATCACAAACAGCACTCAATAATAATCTGATTAAAAGGCCGACCACATAAACTTATCGTGCATCAACATATACTTGACTGATCTCTTTCATAACACCTTACTAAAATGAAACTCAGTTGAGAGCACAGATGTTGCTCTCTGCTAGCGGCTGTAAATTGGCACGCCTCCTGTTCTCTAACCTTGACGTAATCATGAAGACAACATATTTCTGAGAAGACAAGCTGACATATTTGATCCGCATTTTGCGATGCTGCATGCTATGGTACAAATGTGCGACTTAAATGTACGACCCTGTGCGTTAACATTAACACTACCTGAGTTTCGTCAAATTCGTTCATAAGCAGTGGCCAGTATACGAGATCACCTTTTTTCCACAACACTGTACTCGATTCTGTTCGTGAAATATTTTACACTTTTGGTCGCAGTTTCTTGCATTCCTGATATTGGATATATGATACCGGAACTAGTTGACTAGTTAGTTACATGACTGTCGCTGCAGAACCACACTACTAGCATGAGAGTTTGATTGCACAGCGGCAGCACGCCTTCTTCCAGTCTGACTAATGTGCAACTCGACAAGTGTTATTACATCTTCGACCAATGATTTCGTCCAATACGAAAGACATGCTGCACTTGAAAAACGGTTACTGTTAGAGTGCTCACACGAACTATCATTGAGAGCAGGAACTTTGTTTACGTGCAATGGGACGATACCTCCTCCAGAGGGCCTACTTGCAGTCAAAAGCATCTGGTCGCCAGTATAAATCACTAAGAAGTAACATAAGATCTTGATTCACAGACAAAACTACTTTAATTCGCAGCTCGAAATTAAATATCAAAAGGATTTCAGACGCGCTGATTTTGCTTGATACGCAAAACACCGATTTCAGGAAAATTCACTTTGTCTGCCTACGTACTGAATCTTATTTCAATTTTTTGAGCGCGTACATGTCCCCGGCTTGTCCACTTCTATGCAACTCACAATCTTCTAGGTACCCCACTATTATCACGGTATCATTCAGACTCAGGTTGTTCAACTTAACTCAAATTTTGCATGCACCATTAAATGCTCAACGCAACCATCTACATCGCATAATGTACGATCAAGCATATAACGCTTACGCCTATTTGCTTATTGGGTTTTTGTCCAGGCAAACATCAACTGAATAATGATGTGGGAATAATCGTTAGCAATGACCGTGCATGTGCGCCACTTCGTGGTAGGCGTTACTTAGTTAATAATTCAAGTATTGGTAACGTCCAAATAATGCGGCGTGAACTGTATTGCAGTGTGACCAACGCTAAATGCAGTACTATGGTGCATACAAAATGGTGGTTTTTATCCACCACATTACTTGCACACTAATAACCAATCCTCAAATTAAACGGACAAACGCTTGATTCCATTCTAGAATTTTGTAGAATATGAGCTTAAGTAAGACATTGCATCGCCTTATCATGTAACTAAATTAAAATATGTGTCATCGCTATCTTCTCTTCATGGTTTTCCATTCTTTGGCATTGAGATTCAGGCATGCTAGAGACTATACGATAAGTGAAAGTGCTCTAACTCTGTTGGAAATGATTTATGCATAATCAGGGAAATTGTGTGAGGTTCTGAAAATCTTGGTCACTAGTTTTATTTGATCTGGATACACAAGCAAATTCTCTGCGACCGCAAACTGCCAAATACATCACGTTGGCAGTTTGATCACTTAATTAAGAATATGAGAAAAACATAAGTAATTTGACACAATTTATTATCTGTTATGAATTTGAAACAATCCTATTTAGTACGTGTTTCTATTTTTTTTCTCAGCTAGAATAATTTAGCCTGATGCTCTATTTAAGTATTTGACAGCGAATGCATATCGGTATTTTCCTGAAAAAAAAAATACAACGTAATTTAGAATTGAAATTTAAAGTGTGCAACCTTACAATCTTTTCAACTTTAATCAAGTTCTTAAATTCATATTAGGTGCTCGATGTATATTTTAGGAAGCGTTATAAGCAGTTTAAATTAATTGTAAGCGCCGCGTTTTTCGGTTGCAATTTTGTGCTATCGCTTGCCCTGGGATATGGCCGCTACTATAAGCGGGAACGTGAACGCACTAAAGAAAATTTTTGAAAATTATAACAGCACAGGGTCGAGCCCATCTAGTAGCATCCGAAGCAGGGAGGTAAATGGAGTCTCCCACGCAACCACGCGTAACTCTGACTCAGACTACAATGCCGTGAAGAAACCAAGTCAAACACCGTCGAAAACACCTGTAAATGGTACTTTGCATGAGCAATCTTGTGCAAGTGGTCTTCCTGGTTATAATGGGACGACTCCTAATGATCGACGTTTTTCAGTTGATCGGAATTCTGTCGATAGATCATCTTCGAAATCTACACCTCCAAAGACCAAGCCAAAGCCTGTTATATTTCGCCATTCGCAACCTGTCATCCCAAACAATGCGAAAGCTGTTTCAAATAGTCCTAGGGTGGATGCTAAAAACGAGAAGCCTTTACCCGCAGACCCGTCATCGCTAAGAAATATGACGGCGTGTGAATCATCAGTCCTCACAAATACTCCATCAGGACCTAACATCCCGTCAGGCAAAGGTTCAAACGAAACCCACGCCCCCTCGAATCTTGATAATGTGGTAGGAAAATTGCCGACATCCCCTCTTAATGGTGATGACAATGCGGCTGTTTCTAAGACGCCTCCCACCACATCCGTCCACAATTCCTCAAAGAAACCTCCCCCCGTTTCGAAAAAACCAAGGTCAGTTTTGAGCGGCTATAGTAACGGGAACACTCATACACATTACAAGTATGATGAGGAACTTGAGAAACACTTTGGTCTTGTTGTTGATCAGTCTTCTTACGATAGCACAGAGCGTTGGGCTGCGTACCAGGCTGAGAATCGATTGGAGCTCATGCAAAGTAGGTCTAGAAAACAGGGAAATGATTCATTGCCCAATATGCTGCCTAATGGACTAATCGGAGCCCCTCCACGTGCACCTTCAATTACCAGCAGCACTGGACAGTCTAGTTCGAACTTAACAAACTCAAGCATTCGTTCTATTTTGAAAAAAGGTCGTCCGTCTCTGGGAATTCAAGTAGGTTTCTTTGCTTTTAATTTTAATTCTTACAATTTAAAACTCTTCAGCTACTTATATTCCGATTCCTAAACATTGTCTTTTCTATTGTAAAATTTATTCTCTGGTTTTTTAGTCCCTAATTTCAGGTGGCAGGTCCACCAGGCAAATGACGCTTTTTTGAAAAAACTTGACTGATTGCTGCTAAAAATTAAAGAAAACTTAAAGTTTGTAATTTTGTTTTTACCTTTACAGACCAAAAAACGGCTTACGTTTAAAGATGGTGATGAGCTGACTACAAAATATGACTACCCATCAGAAGATAGCTTTAATGATTTAGACAGTCTTGATCGGTATCGATCAGCTTTTGATTCTGACTCTGACTCCTCGTCAACATTTGATGAATCCCAGGACTTTGAATATGACAACTCTGGTTCAGTTAGCACTCTCCGCTCGCAGGATGGAAGAATCAATGTCTCCAAATTAATGCCTGTCGCGTCCAATTCGTCCACTGTTTCTTCTAGCACCCTACGAGGATCCGTGAGTAATCAGCGCAAGAAACATGAAAACAGCTCTCATAATGACCATCATCATAGTAAATGGTCATCCCCATCTTCTCACAAACCAACTGCATTGAACTCATCCAGAGGTGACAGTAAGTCGAAAAACTTATCTAACCCTAGCGTATCTTTTGTTAGAATAAACGCAGTGGAACTGCTTCTACGTAGAAATTCGCTTTTCTTGTGTACCGTAAGAAAGCCACAAATCAACATATTGCCTGCACTTGGTCACCTTTATGACGATGTAAAGTAATAAAAGATTCCTGTTATCATATTGGTGCACATCTAAATAGCTTTAGAGCTGTGCCATAAGTTGATGACTAATGACAAAAATCGTGAACCTTTGTTGGCTGTGTGGAGGTGGCGTTTAGTCAGAGGAGTATGCTGAAAATTGTTATAATATCCACGACAACTTTGTGATTTATCAAATGTCCCGGAATTTATGATGTTGGACCACCGAATATGAACAAGGTAGCCAAAACACGATGTTGGAGATCAAACTTAGGTACATACATTCGTATTGCTAGCGTAGATTACTATGGGAGTTTTGGCATGAGCCGGCCAGCTTCTAATTTCAGTCGCTTGACTAGTGGACTTGCGGCTTGGTTATGGTCGTACATATAAAGTGCTTAAATAATAATTTGGTTTGGTCAGCATCCAGCTGCTAATTACTAATTTGGGTCTTTTTTTTGTTTGAAAAGGTAATTACTCGCATCTTGAGTCCTGCTAATGTAAAGCAGAAGAGTTTGTTTCAAAGTGTTGATATGCTGCCCTACTGCTAAAATAAACTATAGCAACTTTTATTTTGCTGACCATTATGAGGCGAAGTTCATAACTTAAACATTGGGAAGTGTAGCATTCGGCCTACAATATCACATTAGCCATTTACTTCGCTTTCGTTTAGCTGGGTCTTAGCTTCACGCCTGACCTCAGTAAATACTTTTTTATATTTGAAATGCTTGATCAGTTTTCTCATGATAAGGTGTTTTAATCGTCGTAGATCGGTTTGTGTAAACTTGTCATCCGGTGGAGTGTTTCTGCCCTAAATATCTTAGCAAGCTTTACTCTACCCCGTAACCCACCTTTCCGATAGTGTCTACTGGTGTTTTTATGAAGATTCTTTGGTATCAAAAAAGAATTCGTGAATATTGTGTAGATGTTGATCACAACTGGCTGTAACACTCCAGGGTGTATTTCCTCTGTTGTTTCCAGTGGCGTTTGTCTTGGTGTCCTTTGTTACAGCTTTGTCACCTATCAAAATTTACATCTTCCAGAGCCTTGTATTTCGTAAAATCCTTTTAAGTAGTCTTTAGACTAATAGATAACGATTTGCATCTGAATTAAATTCTACTGCAGCTCTTTTCCATGAGATAATATCACAGGCCGCTTTGACAATGGTACGAAGGATTCCGGGATATTTTTTTACGTGCCGTAGATCTTAAGCAATTTAATCATTAAATTATCAACATCACATTAATAACACTTACCACTTAATGACAACAAACGTGGTTTGGTATTTAGATATTCACCAGACAACGCGGAAATACGTGGGTTTGATCAGTTTGCATTTGTTGTGTTGTTGTACTAATTTCAACGCAATTGAATTTGCGCAAATAGGAACGTGAAAATCGCTAAGCGTAACATCTACATTTAAATTTGTTTCTACAAGGAAGCCTTTGTTTCGTGGTTATATTGTAATGCAAATGTGAGTAATGATTACGATTTTTAACATCTACACATAGTTTCCTTCTAATATCACCTCTTACTGTTTGGTTCACCGGCTACCGACCTTTCTCAAGTCCGCTCGGCCTTCACCTGTAACTTCTGTTCAGCCGAGTGTAGTATTCACGTCTAGTAGGTCTTTCTGGTGCATTGTGCACACGCAAGATGGAACCGTCTTCTTTTGCTTTTTCCAAGCGGCGTTAAGTGACCTGCTGTCTTGTCTTCGTAACGGTCTCAAATTTCTAATGCGCACACGATTTACTTACGTCTAATCTCCAAAAGAGCGTTCATTCGGGTGTGTTTAATCTCCATTTAATGCTACGCCTCGTTAAAGCCTTTTTCACTGACGTGATCCGGAGGTTCTTTCTGGCCGATGCATTTCTGAAGCCTCCAAAAAAGTGGCCATATTCCACTCGCTTGGGGTGTAATTGCCTTGGCAACTGGCTTGTTCTTGACCGCGTTGCTCATCGCATTTGGGCTTGTCCTTGTAACGACTGGCCAGTCCTCTTCCTCTGGCTGTTACCATTTTTGTGGTACTGTGAATAATTCGATCAATTTTTAGTTTACCTTGGTCGTTTTATTCGCTGAAGTTGCATGCACACCAGTGCTTAGCGTGCTCAGTAAAGGCACACTTTACTAACTTGAATTAAGCGACAAATCGAGGATTTGGGTTTGATTAATTCAATCGATGGGTTTTGGGGATAGAATGCAAAATTCGTTCGGCAAACTGAGACCCCACGTTTTCACCATTTTGCACGTGTTTTAAAGGTTCAAATAGGTCATGTCTAACTCTATGGTGCATTACTCCTTGGCAATCCACAACTAGTAGCAACTCGTCTTTATCCTTCTTTTGTAGTTTACATTCACCTTCGTTGTTTTATAACTAACATACCCTGAAGCTTTTTCGTTGTTTGCGCTTCGTTCTTCGTGTCACTGGGCTTTATGCCTTTTAATTTCACGCGTCACTTAACTGACACAACGTGTGTTAACTGGCACGCGGTCTTGTGTTCCTTCTCACGACGGTGCCAGTTCTTACTTGAAGAAACACCTCGCTGTGTAATTAGTCTGAAATTTGTAAGTGGAACCATGTATCCCACTGCTTGATCTGCTATAGCGCATTTTAAGGATACAGCGTTACTGTGAAAATAATCCACGATTTAGCATCTTTTTTTTCATTTCGCTTTTTAAAATTTATGGTTCCAAAATAGTCTATGAAGGAAGTTAGCTTCCCTGATGGCATGAATTGTGATTAATAACTTGCTAACATCTATTAACACAAATACAAATATTGTCAAAATAGGAGATTGGGATGTGCAATTGCTTCAAGAATTTACAAAAGTAGTTTTTTTTTATATTAAAAATATATGCGAATTAGATGTCGTAAACTTGGGTTTGTTCACTCCTTATGAGATATTTTGCAAACGCTATCCAACTAATCCCACCACTTGTATTTAAGTGCTCTATTGTAATAGCATTTTAATTGGTTTTTTTTAAAGAAAGCCACAGCTGTTAAGCACTTCTTTCATTCGCATGTTGGTGTTGAACTTATCGAGTTGACATTTAAACCATCCAATAGAGTTAAGTTGCGGCCTTATGCCTTCATCCAACACCTTCACTTGCTGGATCACGGTGAGTTTCGTGCTTCCACGTCGTGCTGTTCAATTGTCCACACCCTCTATTCCTTAATTGCTTGAAGAAAACCGTGTCACCTTTGGGACAAAACCAAGTACTGGCTTTATTTTAACTAATGTGTTTGTGTTGGACTTGAATATGAGGCATTGCGTGGTACAACAGATAATTGTGGCTAAACTTACGCTAGAAGTAAGTCGCAAGCAGCAGTATACACTTAGGTGGCAAGTGAGTTAGCCGTATTTAGAAACACAAACCTGTAGAATCGGAGTCTTGCTGGAGTTCGCTCTATATGCATAACTTCGAACGTCCGAAAGTGGCACATCATTTTAACAAATTTACGTCATTCAAGGTCCCAAAGAAATGTATAATTCTAAACAGTAAACACGCTAAAGCGAATTATACGCAGAGTTTATTACAAGCAGCAGCTGCCTCGGTTATTTATAACAGAGAACAATTTACATAAATCTGGAAAAAGTAGCCACCCAGTTTGCGCGACTTTGGGAAGTGCGCTAAGACATTCAATCGTCTTTTCATGCTTATTGAAGCTGTAAGTTAAAATAACCGAAGCCTCACCAAGATCGAACATTTAGCAATATGCAAAATTTCACAATACTTTCCTATTTGCATCATCATCATCATCATGTCATTGGTTTGCTATTTCAAATAAACTTTGACGGATTCTAGACTAGGATGTTTTCGTATTATCCCTCCTTTCTCAATCACAACTTACAACTCCACGAAAAGTGGTTTTTTTTACAGGCTGCACCCCTCATCGCCATGGGTTCCCTTCATCAATTAAAACCTTCAGATCAAAGACGTGCTTAATTGTACTTACATTGACACGTTGAGTAAAAATGGAGGAATTTGATTTTGTGGTTTTCGTTTTGACAAGACAGCATGTGGGTGGCCATTAATTAATAATGGTGTCTAAAGTCTCGTATTTAGTAATTAAGTTAAAGCCGCAGAGGCTCTAGCGTTCACTGCCGTCTGCAATTTTTGTGGCGCGGCTTGACAGGGTTGTTTGGAAACTGTCGTAAGTGTAATTGCATTACTAACGGTTTTAACTGTTCCAGTAGAAAACCTTATGAGGATTGATGAGTCGCTAGCAGATTAGAACCTAATGCTTTAAGTGTATTTCCTGATTAATTTTAGGCTAACTCTAATTCCATTAGGTGGTGGTCCCATGAGATCAACCAGAGCATGTTGGAGTTCAGAATGAGCATGCTTTGGCTCAACTCTTGTACGGTTTTGTCACTACACTCGAGGTTAGCTCCTTTAGTTGACTTGACCTGTTCTAGAGTGTTTTAATTGAACGGTATTTAGGAGACTTCTGAAATGCAGCATCCACTGATGCGATATGGCATAGTTTATGTTTTCTCTTGTTTAACGTGCAACTAAGTCTGAAATCGCCATGTGATAGTGTTATCGTCTCCTTAAAGGAGGCAAAATTTAAAGCTAAGTGTTCTTGCCTTAATTATGGGTTTCTTTTACTCCATCGTACAATCTGATAATAGTCTACGAAGTTTTCAACAAGCTTTCGATGCAGACAACAAGCAGCAATGCCCAACCCGGACCAAAAGTGGTCTGTCTGTGCTCTCTACTTGTGCAACTACTCTAACTTCAGTATCCGAGGTACACACCATCATTGGATTCGCATGCTTTTTGGAATTTCCATTTATCGAGCCTTCATTAGAATCCCAATTTACTGATTATGCACAATTGCTGGTAGTTATGCTAGCTAGTTAATTTTTTTTGTTGAGAAGACCTGTAACCAGTGTTGCAGCCCAACACTTGCTGACATTTTTCCCTCTTCATTCAATGTCTAAAATGTTTAGGTATCTTCTACGCATGCACCAGTGCTTTATCATACTATTTACTTTACCAATGCATCACAGCTTG